GTTCATTTTTAAACACATTCGTAAAAAAAAATATAAAATTGACTTTACTTTTCTTATAATTTTATATCCTTCGTTGAACAGCCGACTCAATTTTAGGTTTACGACTACTACTGTTCAGCTCCGTAGCCTTGTAATTTTGAGCCCAATCCAGAAGACAAGATAACTCCTTGATCAGGTATTGGGAGAAATTTGCCTTCGTGGGGAACTTTTTGATGGAACTAACCCGCATTTGCGCTACATGGAGAGGAAGACCACGTGAACCTCTCACGGGTAGCCTAACGGCAAGGGGACTCTAACCCATGATCCGTCTACCATTTAGGATATTTCACGTCAGCAGTGTGGTCGGTGCGAGTGACCGTATCGACCAGTCATCGCTGGGATTCGAACCCGGTTCACCTCATTGGAAGGTAACGTTCTATCCCCTGGGCCATCGCGGCTCAATAATAAAATGTACTTATAATTTCCCAATTACAATCGAAAATTTATAAATACTATAAAATCACGAAGAAACAAGTTTAGGCTATTATCTACTATCGCCTTAAAAGTGAATTTAATATCAAGCATCATTTTATATTCCTCACATATAGCACACCGTTCCATATATCAAACTTTCCAACGTTTAATGTATTTTGTACATTATCAAACATTGTATTTATCGTCAAATTAGTTCGTAAATAAGAACGTATTCATCGTCGTTATTGTATTCTCTATCTAGTAATGTATTCATAATATCCATCGCCAAACATCGTATTCACGATTAAATGCAATATTTATAATATACATTATCAAACAACAATATAATGGCATTCATTATCAATCATACTAGTCACCGTATTCATTGTATGTATTGTCAAATGTATTTACTATGAAATGTTAAATTTCTAGTATTTACTATGAAATGACAAATTTCTAATATTTACTGCCAAATCGTATCATTCATCATTGGACATTATGTCCATAGTGTTCAATATGAAATATCGTATTCATACAATCCATAGTCAACTATCGTTTCCCCATCAAAAGTCATTTTCCACTATCAAGTATTGCGATCGTATCATTCATCATTGGACATTATGTAAATAGAGTTCAATATGAAATATCGTATTCCTACAATCCATAGTCAACTATCGTTTCCCCATCAAAAGTCATTTTCCACTATCAAGTATTGCGATCGTATCATTCATCATTGGACATTATGTCCATAGTGTTCAATATGAAATATCATATTCTTATCGTATTCAATTATCTTTTTCCCATCAAAGGTCATTTTTCACTATCATTGCGATCGTATCATTCATCATTGAACATAGTGTTCATTATGAAATATCGAATTCATAGTCTTCCCGTTCACATATCGTTTTCATAGTACCCATTTTTAAATATTGAATCAATATAAATTATTATGTTTACAGTGTTAACTACCAATAATCATAGTATTCATCAGTACTTAGTTATTTTTATGATTCAAAACATTTGCTGAACAGCGTAGCACTACAAATAAACATTCTTTCAATTTATTTATTTTACAAATTATTTTTCCATCTTTTGCATTCCTTTAAGTTTTCAGCATCTTTTCAATGTTATAAATGGAAAAAAAATCGAAAAAATCAAAACCCAATTTCATTTATTACATTATTTTTTATTTTTTTAGAATCAGAAAATTTCATAATAAATCCGATATTCTTCTATTTGTACTAAATATAAAACCTAATTAGAGACTTTGCATACCTCTTATCCTTATTAAAGTTAGGATTTGTTCAGCTTGCTGCTCTCTTCGTTCTCTCTGCTTCCACTTCATTAAGAAAAATCATTTTAAAAACGTAACTTTAACCGCCGGCATCTCGTTCCTTCGGTTTGTTTATTCTTTAATTTTGTTTCCCTAAGTAATTGCATACAGCTTTGGCCTCATTATTGTGTTTTATTGATTCGCTCATTAAAGATTTTATAATTCACTTTTTCTTTGTCGTTTCTTTTAGATTTCGGTATATTAATTAGACTTGCGGCCCCACAAAAAAGACTGAATTATTTCATAAATAACTGAAGATGAATAGCGGCTGCAAGGAGCTTGTACAGGAAGTTACTTCCAAAAAAAACATTTATGTAACTGTTTCAAAATTACTAACCACATCGCTGGATTTTGATTAGGTTGCTTCGAGTTAAATTACTTCTGTAACAGAATAGTTTAGGTCTTATTTTTTTATTGTTTTTAATTATTGCTTAATGCAATATTCCTGCATCGATTATTCTTGTTTTTGGTTAAAAAGTGGTTATACTTCAATTTATATTATTTGTCAAAAAATAAAAATGTTTGAATTGCATACAAGTTTCGTATTTTTACGTATCATCATGCATTTTTCCGTTCATTAAGTTGTGAAAGAACTGCACATGCGCACCTGAAATGCGCATGCGCCAGTATTGATAAATGAAATAGTTAACGAGCATGCGCAGAAACTTCTGAAAACTTACGAGCGATCTGTATGATATATAAAACTTAGAAATATTTCTATTATTGAACTGAATATTATTATATTCTTGCTATTGATCAAAATTTAACTATGCTTAATAACTAGAATAGATTCCCAATTTTTATTTTGGTTTAAAAACTATTAGCGTTATTATAGCATTTGTAGATTAATTTTCCTCTTATATATTTATCACTTTCATAAAACTAAGCAAACAAATGGAGAAAATTGCTTAAAACGTTTTTAAAAAGAATAAAAAAGCTCTTGAGACATGTATAGAAATATATTTTTACTGTTACTTGATTACAGGATTGTTTGTGGATTTATTCTATATTTTTAGTATCCTTTCATAAAATTCAACTTCAATTTAAGCAACATAAAGTTTTTATGTGTCAGGAATAAAGCTTATCACAAAGTCTACGACGTGTATATTAGATTAAGCTAAATTTTTACAATAATAATCTCTGTTTAACTGTGTTTGTCTGAGAGATGGATGAAGTTAGTGCTGCTGCTGGTTCACTCTTTAAATTCTGTGTATTAGATTAAGCTGCAGTTTTACAATAATAATCTCTGTTTGACTGCTTTTGTCTGAGAGATGGATGAAGTTAGTGCTGCTGATGATTCACTCTTTAAATTCTGTGTATTAGATTAATCTGCATTTTTGCAATAATAATCTCTGTTTGACTGTGCTTGTCTGAGAGATTGATGAAGTTAGTACTACTGCTGATTTACTCCGTAAATTCTGCAACCGGGATTTTTTAACAGAATATTCTTTTTTTTATCTTGATACTGGTCAAAAATATCGACATAGAATAGCCAATAGAATGCAATACTTTTTGATTAGTATGAAAACAATGCCGAATTTCAAGAAGCTTTGCATTTAATTGGAATTAATTACTCTTTTGGATAAAAAAGCTCCATCAAATCTACCTTGTTATAAATACTTGATTTCTCTTCATTAATTATTTTATTCTTTTTATATGAAATCAGTTACTTAATGCTAATTACTTGCTCAAAAAATACTTTCATATTAACTTTTTTTTTTCAAATTAATGATGAATGTGGCGAAATCTAAGGCTAGTCAGAAGAATACAATCCGTTCGTAAATTTTTTATGGATTCATTTTATGCTATGTTTTGACCTTACTATTCGAAAGTTCTATTTCTTTCTTTCTGTTATGTGGAGGATGAATAAATGATGTTTCCCGACTGTGATTACATTTATTCTATTCTTATACCTTTTCTCTCCTGAATCATTTATTATTGTATTCTAATACTCGACCATGAATAATTTATATCGAATTATTCTAACTTTTTCTCTCCTCTCCTCCGTTCGGGAATAGGAATAAAAAAAAACTTTTTTTTATTCCTTGTTGGAGATGAAAATAAAACTTTAAAATGCATGCCTTTTCTCAGAAACGAAAAAAACTTTTCGAACGCGATAACATACTAAGTTTTCGAGCTGAACTTTTTTTTTCATCAGCCTTCTATAGTGAAGTTTTCCTTGTGATGCTTTATTTTGATGTTTTGGAAACAGAATTTAAATGGATTATATGAATAAGCTCTCGCTTCCTAAAGATTCTTTAAAATAAGAAGAAAAAAGTAGAACGTCTTATTAACGAGAAGTGTATTTTGTCACCACTGTTTCTTGTAAAACCTGAGAATATTAAACTAACCTATCAAAAAGTTGTTTTAAGTACTCGATATTTGTAGTAATGTGTACTTTCGTTATCTTATTTTTGGAAGAAATAAAGAAAATTAGTAGGCTCATTCGAAACATTCTCTTTGAAATAAGGTTCTCATAGCTGCCAACTCTACTGGATTTTCCAGTATACTCCTGGGAGAAAATGGCAAAATCCAGTAGACTACTGGATTTTGCCAGTTTCTCTTGGTCTACTGGTTTAATCAAAATTCTCATGGTTTTTGTACATTTTTCAATTTCCTAAAGAAATTCCCTAAATTAGAAAATTCCCTAAAATTGAGTAAGATTCTTTCAAAAGTCCCTACTGAAATAGAATTTTTGTACATATTATAGCTTGAATATTTAAATAAGTATTACTAATACATAACCTTCCTTAGTGTATAAACACGAAATGTTTAACCACTGTAGAAGGTCTTTTTTATAGAACCAAAACTATAGTATGTTCATTTCTGTACTTTTTCTACATTTTTCGATTACATGAAATACGATGTAGGGCGATAATCACGATGAAGCATCGTATCTTGGGTGCTCTTAAATTCTTTTCTTATTTTCTTTATTTTTCCTTGTTTTTTTCAAACAGGGAAAAAATTATATAAAACTTATAATTATTAGCCTAGCGAACGTAGAACATTACGTTTATTTCTTTTTATTTAACTAACCTAGTTTAACAAATACTATAATTTAAAAAAGAAAATTGTTGGTTTGCTATAATTTTAGCTCTATTGCTTAACTTAATCCTTCGATTATTTTCTACGTACGGTAATGCTACCACACATGTTAAAATATGTAATCTTTTATTCTTAAGTTGAAGTAAAAAAAAAAAATTTTTTTTTTCAGGCAAACTTGTCTCGCCTGAATCCAAGTGATTACCATCCGGGTGTTGGTGACGGAATAGCTAAGTGTCCTTTTGATCCAGAAGATAACGCCACTGCTGTATGGGTTGGTGAGTATTACAAATAATTTAATGGCAATAATTTAATTGGTCTTCTTTTTTTTAATAATCAAAAGCAACGTTGATCCCAGTAATAATCGCCAACTTGGCGGGATTTGAACAAGTCGCCAAGAGGTGGGCTATTCTAGAATTTTACAAAATCTTCATAATATTCATTTACCAATCTTCTATAGGAAAAGAACAATCAATAAATAGAATTTAATATTGTATTCAAATCGCAGAAAAATTTACTTATTTCCTAGTGTGACGCTGCATGTTTATAAAAAATAAATAATATTTGACTTGCTTTTTACATTTGGGTTTTTTTTAAACTGCTGTTTGTAGAAAATGCAACACCATGAAGGAATCATCAGAATCAAATGAAATTCACAGCAAATGTCAATTATAGGATATTATGCAAATTAATAAAGTTTCAGAGCCATCGCGCGTGCGTGGCCCGCGCAGCGCCCTCTGAATTGATGCTGAAAGCGTATAAATAAAGTGCTGTAGCGGGACGTTGAAAATAGTCTATGATTATTTGTTAGTGGCAAACGTTTAGTGAGACCTGAGTATGCCTCCACGACGGAAGAATAAGAAATTCAAGCAACTTACGGAGTTTGAACGAGGGAGGATAATCGGCCTTCGAGAAGGAGGATTTTCCTATCGCGCAATAGCAGCTCGTATGCAGCGGAACAGTTCCACAGTGATGCGAGTTTGGAAGCAGTGGACCGACGAGCACCGAACAACTCGAAAAACAGGCACTGGACGACAGAAGGTGACGTCAGAGCGCGATGATCGACACCTGCTCCGCATGGCGGTGAATGATCGCACAGCTTCCTCCAGGCAGCTGGCAGCACATTGGTCTACTGCTACAGGTGTACAATTGTCGGCTTCGTCAATTCGTCGTCGTCTGCTGCGCCGTGGATTGCGTGCAAGGGTGCCATTATACAGGATTCCCCTCACGGCGGATCATCGACGGCTGCGTCGGCAGTGGGCTCTTGAGCACAGAGACTGGCGAGCTGATTGGCACCAAGTTGTCTTTTCAGATGAATCACGCTTCAATTTGTGGACCCATGATGGCCGTGTTCGTGTTAGACGTTATGCCGGTCAACGCTGCCTTCCTGAGTGTATTATTGAACGACATAGTGGTCGAACACCCGGAGTTATGGTCTGGGGTGCGATTTCGTATCATGGACGATCCAATTTGATACGAATTGAGGGTAATCTCAATAGCAACAGATACGTCCGTGAAGTGCTACAGCCCGAAGTCGTTCCTTTCCTTCAAGGCATCCCTGGAGCTATCTTTCAGCAGGATAATGCACGCCCACATGTTGCGCGGACTGTTAGAGACTTCTGTTCAGCACAACGCATGCAACTTCTTCCTTGGCCTGCTTATTCGCCGGATATGTCGCCTATTGAGCACGTGTGGGATATGGTTGGTCGGCGTCTCACTCGTGATCCGCGTCCTGCAGTTTCCAAAGACGAACTTTGGTTGCGCATACAAGCGATATGGAATTCTCTTCCTCAAGCAGATATTCAACATCTGTTTGACTCCATGCCACGTCGTATAGCAGCACTTATTGCAGCGCGTGGTGGCTGCACCAAATACTGATTTCGGACGCTTAATTTGTTTCTTTTGTTTTGAAAATTTCATCATTTATTTGTATCAGTACAAGTCGTTTCTGCATTAAATTTCATTTGATTCTGATGATTCTTTCATGGTGTTGCATTTTCTACAAACAGCAGTTTATAAGTGAATAAATTCATAATTGAAGAAAATTTATGTATTTGTCCAAATGCCATCTTAATGTATATGTATAATTATGCAGAACGTGGAAATCCTTCCGGGTTGCCTGGTTTGTACAGCGGCACGGTTGCGGAGTTTACAAAAGCTGACACCGTCATATTCAGGACGAATCTTTACAATAAAACCACTGGCGTGGAACTCCATCCTTTCAAACGAACCATCAAATACGACTCCAAGTGGCTAGACAGTAAGTAAACATTTCAATTCTGCATGCTTCTTATGTGTTCCCAATTCATTTCAACATTTTGCACTTTTACCCGATGTCCCAAGCAGTTCTTATTTACTACATGATCTTAAATTTGAGTAACTCTAAATCAACGATCGATAATAGTAGGATCAAACAATACAAACAGTATATTGATAGTGAGAGGCATAAAAACTTTCTGCAGAATTTCAAAAATTGCAAATATTGACAACAAATTACACTTTCAAAAGTCGTCTACTGTTCAATATTTGTCACACAAGTTGTCAATAAATAAAATTCGCTGCAAAAATCGCAAACAATTTTAATCAGTAACAAAAATTGCAAATAAGTTAGTTACTAAAGTTGCCAAAAATTAAATTAGTTACAAAAATGCCTACAGATTTTATCTGTCACATAAGTTGCAAATAAATTAAATTGGCTGCAAAAATCGCCAACAATTTTAATCAGTAACAAAAATTGCAAATAAGTTAGTTACTAAAGTTGCCAAAAATTAAATTAGTTACAAAAATGCCTACAGATTTTATCTGTCACATAAGTTGCAAATAAATTAAATTGGCTGCAAAAATCGCCAACAATTTTAATCAGTTACAGAAATTGCAAATAAGTTCGTTACTAAAGTTGCCAGAAATTAAATTAGTTACAGAAATGCCTACAGATTTTATCAGTCACATAAGTTGCCAATAGATAAAACTGGCTGCGAAAATCGCCAACATTTTTAATCAGTAACAAAAATTGCAAATAAATTAGTTACTAAAGTTGCCAAAAATTAAATTAGTTGCGAAAAGGCCTACAGATTTTATCAGTCAATTTTAATCAGTTGCAAAAATTGCAAATAAGTTAGTTACTAAACTTGCCAAAAATTTAATTAGTTGTGAAAAGGTCTACAGATTTTATCAGTCACATAAGTTGCCAATAAATTAAATTCGCTGCAAAAATTGCCAACAATTTTAATCAGTTACAGAAATTGCAAATAAGTTCGTTACTAAAGTTACCAGAAATTAAATTAGTTACAAAAATGCCTACAGATTTTATCAGTCACATAAGTTGCCAATAGATAAAACTGGCTGCAAAAATCGCCAACATTTTTAATCAGTAACAAAAATTGCAAATTAGTTAGTTACTAAAGTTGCCAAAAATTAAATTAGTTGCTAAAAGGCCTACAGATTTTATCAGTCACATAAGTTGCCAATAAATAAAATTCACTGCAAAAACCGCAAACAATTTTAATCAGTTACAAAAATTGCAAATAAGTTAGTTACTAAACTTGCCAAAAATTAAATTAGTTGCGAAAAGGTCTACAGATTTTATCAGTCACATAAGTTGCCAATAAATTAAATTCGCTGCAAAAATTGCCAACAATTTTGATCAGTTACAGAAATTGCAAATAAGTTCGTTACTAAAGTTGCCAAAAATTAAATTAGTTACGAAAATGAAATGTTCCCTTTCAATATTTAAACAATTATAAAATTAATTATAAATTTAATAATTATAAAATAAACAATTATAAAATTAATTATAAAATTAATTATAAAATTAATTAATTAATTAAAATTAATTATAAACGTATTTCTAATTAAACTTTTTCGAACATTTTTTTAACGAACTGTTAAAAGCTTTTAAAGCGTTTAAAAGCTCTTCTGGAACAAAAAGCACTACTGTTGTTTTAGTCGCACTATTTCGTCGAACCCCATCTCCCTCAACAAGTGCAAAATTCGTTCCATTTGCACTTGACTGATGGTGATTGCGTTCTTTTTTTCCAGAACCGAATTTCGTGGGTTCGTACGACATCGGGGAACACGTGTACTTCTTCTTCAGAGAGAGTGCAGTAGAGTACATCAACTGCGGGAAAAGCATCTACTCCAGAGTGGCCAGGGTTTGCAAGGTGAGTGCTTTTTACGGGCTGTACTAGGGGGCTGTTTTTTATGACTGCTACTAAAAACCCTCTTTGCTCGAGTGATAGTGTTTTTCTTCCTGATAAATGCCCACTGCTGTTTTTACTTCTTACTCGAGATGTAACTATTTGTGTTGTATGTGCTCTTCAACGCTGAGGCAGAAAAGCAATGTTATTTGTCGAGATGGCATCGTTACGAATAAGTCCGTTATTTTTCGTTTTATGTTTAATATGTATATACAGAGGTGCCATCTATTGGAATTTATCATAATCAAGATTAGGGTCTTACAGTTGAGTAATAAAAAATGCGATTCTTGAGAATTTCTGTATTACTTAGTTATTTCCCCTTTACCAAGAGTTAAGAAATTATGTTGTTTGCATCTATTGCAATATATAGAGGTGCCATCTATTGAAATTTATCATAATCAAAATTAGAGTCTTACGGTTGATTACTAAAAAATGCTGTTTTTGAGAATTTCTATATTAAGTAGTTTAAAATAAGTTATTTCCCCTTGACTACCAAGAGTTAAGAAATTATGTTGTTTGCAGCTATTGCAATATACAGAGGTGCCATCTGTTGCAATTTATCATAATCAAGATTAGAGTCTTACGGTTGAGTAATAAAAAATGCGGTTTTTGAGAATTTCTGTATTAATTAGTTTAAAAAAAGTTATTTCCCCTTGACTACCAAGAGTTAAGAAATTATGTTGTTTGTAACTAATCTATTATGAGCAACCAAAATAAGTATCTATTATGCAGCATTGTTATTAAGTCGTGTATTTTTTATTTTATGTTTAATATACATAGAGAGGTGCCATCTATTGCGATTTATACGCCATCGTTACGATTTCATAATCAAGATTAGGGTCTTACGGTTGAGTAATAGAAAATACGGCTTTTGAGAATTTCTGTATTAATTAGTTTAAAATAAGTTATTTTCCCTTGACTACCAAGAGTTAAGAAATTATGTTGTTTGCAACTAATCTATAATGAGCAACTTAAAAAAAAATAAGTATCTACTATGCAGCATTATAATTAAGTCTGGTATTTTTTATTTTATATTTAATATACATAGAGAGGTGCCATCTATTGCGATTTATACGCCATCTTTACGATTTCAAAATCAAGATTAGGGTCTTAGGTTGAGTAATAAAAAATGCGACTTTTGAGAATTTCAGTATTAATTAGTTTAAAATAAGTTATTTCCCCTTGACTACCAAGAGTTAAGAAATTTTGTTGATTGCAGCTAATCTATTCTGCAGCGTTATGAATACGTCTTGTATTTTTTATTTATCATTTAATATGTATACAGAGGTGCCATCTATTGCGATTATCCGTCATCATTACGATTTTGTAATCAAGATTACGGTTCAGAAATAAAAATTGCGATTTTTGAGGATTTTTGTAATAATTAGTTGGAAATAAAAAAATTTCCCTTGACCACAAAGAGTTAAGAAATTTTGTTGTTTGCAACGAATCTATTATAATTTTTTCTACTTCTTAAACAATTCCAAAAGCAATAAACAAAAACAATTTCATATTAAGAAGAAATGAAAAATATAAGAAAATAGGAGTTAGCTCCAATGGAAATCTCCCTACTATGGTACTTGTCCCTATCCAAGAGTTTCTTTTTTTTTTCTGAACCTCGTTCAAAATCAGACTCGAATCCTCGTTCAGACTCGAATCCGAATCAGATTAGCTGTTCAGTAGCGGTTATTGAACAAGTATCTAAAAAAAACTACATTTTAACATCAGTTAATTTAATATTTTGCGTTGAAAAGTTTTTGAGTTTTGAATGCTTGCAAAAATTTGTAAGACAGTTTCCTTTGAAGATATTTATTTCTTTACAAATATTTATCTTTTCTTTAAGGAATTTTCTTTATCTGAAAAGCGTGTTTTTATACTGTATAGCTTTCTATAATAAAAAAATTACCATTCTTATTTTTTTAATTGCAAATTTGTCGGTAGTTTTTACATTTCAGGAACTAAACATGGACTTCTCGATTTGCACAAATCGTATTAGTTTTATTTGCGCAACTTTCAAATGATATGCTACTAACTTCAAAGAGTAAAATAAATTTGCAATGCCAGAATTTTAAATAATAAAAAAATAAATAAATTGAATGTATTCTTACTGGTTTGAAAGTATCGGGTGAAAAATTAATGAACTCTGCCCGTGAGTAAAAATAAAAAAAAATAAAACATTTTATAAAAGCAAGGATAAACCGGATACAGATAAACTTTATTTTTCCCTCTGCAACTCAACTTGTCGTTAAAATCCCTCTTTATGTAAGTTCAAACTGGAGGTGAAAAATTATCCCCATGCTTGTTAAAGGGAACATTAATGGAAAAAGATACCTTTTCAAACACGGTAACTGGTCCAATTTCAAATTATTATTTTTTTTTAAGTCATTTTGTAACCTGCGTTTGTAAAAACATTTCCTTTCCTACTACCTCATTACAGAGACTAATAATATTCATTTAATTTATTTATTTCCTTCTAAATTTGTTATTTTAGAGCAGCGGTTCCCAATTTTTTTCGACAACGGAACCCTAAATAATCAACCTTTTTTTTAGTGGAACCCCGACTTCATGAATAAAGTTTATTAAAGTGAACGTTATAACCCATAATAGACTATTTTTAAAATATTTAATTCGAGGCATTTTTCATCAGTTTTATATTAATAATATTAAATTAGGTTTTATGTTGAATTTGCAAATCTAGTCTAGTTACGTTTTTGTTTCTGGTGTATATGCAAAAGCTCAAAATTAACAAAATAAACCTAATTATAGTTTAGTTTGTGATTTAAAATTTAAAAAAATAATGCGTGGAGTCCCTCCGCGCGGAAGAAGTTTAACTTCGTAACCTGCGACGTTAATTGTAGAAGAATCAGCAGTCGTAGAAGGATCACTAGTTCTATTCAACGACTCTTTTTCCTGCTCCGATCGCTTCCGTGCTCTGTAATCACGGTAATATTGTGCATTTTTCCCTCGTGGACCTCTTGAACCAGTGGAAGTGCTTGTGGTTGCCTCATCGTCTCGCCCTGGAAAATGTATTTGTATTAATAATGTATGTGAATGCGTCATAATGTAATTTCAGAAGAGAAAACCTAACAATCAATTGATATTCACAAGAGACGTACCTTGACATAACCTTAAATCCGTCGCATTGTCCGTGGGATTGTTTTCACTCATTTTTTACAATTGTTATCCACTAAATTTGAAAATAAAAAATACTACCCTATTAAATTACATGTGAATCAAAGCAAACTAAAAAAATATTTATAGAAAAACAATACTTTTATGACTTTTATTATTTTTATGCTAGTGAGAACCAAATCAATTTTGGAAATGAATGAGGGAAAACTGGATCCTACCACGTGATTTCCCGGCCAATAAAAATGTATCGTTAAACATTTAACGCAACCTTGTTGGAAGTCGCATAAGAAGTATAACTTCAAAAAACTTCTGTAAATATTGAAAATGGTTATTAGGGAAACACTACATTTTTCCCAGTGAAGAATTTACTTCGTTTCATTTTTAGTAAAAGTCTCGATATATTATTATTGATTCTAAATTAAATAAATATTAACATTGCATGTTACTCTATAGTCTCTAAAGCATTAAATATTATTTAATTTTATAATTATTGTTGATCTTCAACAGCAATCCAAACGTTAAAATCAGACGATATAATTAAAAATTATTTGTACTAGTTAGTATTTTAAAATCGCGTCCTTTTTTTTATAAATTATGTAAACATTTTTAAGTAATTGACTTAAAACAATTTTATTTAGTTATCATTTTTGCATATACGTAAAGACATATTTCTGATTGATATTTACACAGACACTTCTGTTTTGTTTTAAATACAAAAAAGTAAATTTCATAAACGTTTCAGTAAATATTTGTATCTACTTTCAACATTATTTACTGACTTATTATTTATACTTAAATTTGATGTAATATTTAAGTTGTAATTTGATGTATACTTGAACAGATATTACCTAGTTGGTATCAACGTAGTTGTTTTTTTATATTAAACACAAAATAGTAAATTTTATAACTATTTTAAATAAACATTACTATATTTTCATCGTTATTTAATAACTCTTAAAAATTATGTTTGAATTATAAAATAATTTTAAAGTAAAATCTTAATATTAAATACATGATTGCATCGAATGAAAAATTGATTTAGATAAAATATTTAAAAAGTTTTAATTTAATGTTTGTTTCTCCTGAAGAAAAAATCTTTATTTAATTTGCGAATTTTTTCCAGCAAATATTTTTGTTATTTTTGTCGTCTTAATTAATCTAGAATCTACATTAAGCCAAAATATACATTTTTTTTCGTATTAAAGCACATTCATATTAAAGATCGAATTCCTATACTTTTATCCCTATACTTTTTTCCGAATACTTTTTTTTTGTTTTGATTTTCTAAATACCTTTCATTATTTTAAATATTTTTTTACGCAAAAAAATACGTTTATGTTATTCATATGAAAAGTAAAACTATACATAATTTTTATTCTCTTTTTTTAAAGAAAGAATAAATAAAAAAAAAATTCTTTTGGTTTCGTTCTTTTAAAGTATTCGAATTTTTTTTTTTTTTTTGCTTTTGAAAAGAATTCCATTAACGCCAGAAATGAAAAAGAAGATCGCCAACATTATCTTTTATTACCTACAAAATATCTATAAAAATAATTTTTAATGTTTATCATTATTCCTCAACTTTTTTATGATATGTTCTTCAAACTGAAGTAAGGAATTTTCTTTTATATATAAAGGAAAAAGTGGTGTAAGAACGGGTAGCTAAGATTCGAAGGCCTGTTGGAGCCACAGTGTTACAATTATACAGTCTACTTAGACACAGACATATGGAATTAAGATGTTCATCGTTTTATTGTGTACAATATATCGTATTGAAAAGTCATAGATGAACTACTTCTTATCATAAATGATTTTTTTTCTAGAAAAAGTCATAAAACCAGGACTTACCCCATCAGTGGGGCAGGGTTAAGACGGATATATAACTAAGACCGAATTGATAATTCTATGGAAAATTTAGAAATACTATTATTTCAGAGAAAAAAATAGCCGAGATTTCTATTTTATATAACAGTTTATAAAAAATTATGCTTGCAATTTACATGTGATGTAAATTGCTTAAAAAAAAATCGCTTCAAAAAAAATCAAGACAATTGACCTAGAAACTGTGATATTTAATTAAATTAAGATATTCATCGTTAAATTGCGTACAATATCGTATTGAGAAGTCATAGATGAACTACTTTTTGTCATAAATGATTTTTTTTCCAGAAAAAGTCAAATGACCAGGACTTACCCCATCAGTGGGGCAGGGTTAAGACGGATCTATAACTAAGACCGGATTGATAATTCTATGGAAAATTTAGAAATACTAGAATTTCAGCGAAAAAAATAGCAGAAATTTCTATTTTATATAACAATTTTTAAAAAAATTATGCTTGAAATTACGCATGCGTACTGGAAATGCACATGCGTAATTACTCACATACGGGGGCGTACAGAAGCTATGCGAAATCTCCCTAGAATTGAACTAAATAATCATTGTTTGTTAAGGTATGAATCTGAAGTAACGGTTAATAATCTGGACTAATAATAACTTTTGTAACTGTTATGACCAATCATTAAGAATAATTTAAAAACAAAATAACATTAAAGAGCTAACATATTATTACAAACTTATCTACACAGTCTCAGTGAATTAATTATTTTTTTCTCCACACTTACTGGAATATGAATTATTTAATACACATTTATTCGCTAGAATTTTTTATATAATGACTTGGCACTCATATCTTTTTTAAATGATTGAATTATTTAGTATTCAATTTACGTAACATTTTTCGTTTGTTCGAACTTTCAATTTCATATTGTGTCACATACCAAAGATTGATAATTAGGCAATTGTTTCTTTACTTATGAAAAGAATATTGTTTTAAATGAATTTACCATTACGATTGGAGCTAATAAACGCACTATCCCTTGATAAATATTTAAGAAATGTCTATCATAAAGGAAGTCTAAGAAATATACCCATTAGAGGTTACAAATTAATACTTAAGGGATTAAAAACAGCTATCGAAATATGTCAAATCACACTAGTGAGAAGGTGGGATGAAAAATATAATCACCAGTTTAATAAAACTTGAAGATATTTCTAATAATCGGCTTTCAGTTATTGTTTCTTTGGGCAATCAAACAGGTTTTTATGCCTTCCCCGCCTTTATGCCTTTAGTAGTGATTCCTTAGATGTCGATAGTAATTTCTCTCCCCGATTTGAATAATTATCTGAACATAAGGATATAAGTTTCTCACAAATTTGTGGATTTTCTTAATATTCTCATTTTCCGTTATTTTCATTTTTAGCATAGAGGGCGCTACCTAAAGATAGTCAACTACGAAAAACAAGAAATAGATTTTTTTTTAAATCGAAGCTTATATCAAGCACTTACTTTACGATTTCATTAAAAGCATTAGAAGTCATATTTAATAACTTAAAAAAATATACATGAAAAATAAGATATATAATGAAGCTAATTTTTTTTATGAATAAAATCATAAATATGCCTTTGAAATTGAATTTTAAAAAGCAATTCTGCATAAAAATTTTCTAAAATGTTTTTAATGTTTTTTTTTTTTAAAAAAATACTTTCAAAGCATTAATGCAAAATAGATAAATTTAACTTCATAACATTTCCTTGATTACGAGTTTAAAATTATTCAAGTCATTATTATCATAAAAATATCTTAAGGCGCGCATTAATATCGAAATAGTTTTTTTTTTCATCTTTTGAAAAAAAAAACCGTCCAACTTTTCAACTCAATCTAAAGCACATATGTTCCTATAATTAAAATTCAAAATTTCTTTTTGAAGTTCATGCATTAGTCAGCTACTAAGAAAAACAACTTCATATATACTCTATGAATTCAAGTTTTTTTATACTGTTTTCTTTCATGTTTTTTTTTACAGAAAGACACAGGAGGAAAAAATATCTTGAGCAAAAACTGGGCCTCGTTCCTGAAGGCCCGACTGAACTGTTCCATACCGGGAGAATTTCCATTCTACTTTAACGAGATACGTAAGTATTTTTCATGAATATTAATTCCACTTTTTTCCCCTCTTTTTCTTCTTAAAGCATAATTTTGCATATACTTTTTCACTACCTCTGTACTATCTTTAGGTTCTGTATTTTCTTGTAAAAATGTTTTTTTTTTCCCTTCTCGTAATTAATGGATCTTTTCACTGTTGCATAATTAAGACAAAAACAGGAACAGTCCATTTGTTTTGATGAGGAATTACATTTTTGCTTAATTAAAGACGTGGAAGAGGGAAAAACTAGTTTTTTTTTTCCTTTCCCGCGAATAGTGGTTAATGAGATTATGTTAACTAACTACTTTGCTATTTTCTTTTCAAACTACTCTTGGAAATTCAATGACCAGTTATGCTTTCTTAATAAGTAAGGAATTACTCACAGAACTTTTAAGATTTATGCTAAATAAATGGTTTTTTAAGTATTTTAAGAGGTTGACGCTATTTAGACCACATATTTAGTTTTTAGAGCTGTCTTTGAGTTTGAGAGTTTTTTTTTCTTAATTGCTAAATAAGAGGTGAATGTACGCTTCTATTTAACTTTTAAATTACGAGAGCCGTTATTTAACGCCATCCACACGATGCTTTTATGTACTGAATCAGAATTGTGACCTGGATAGCCTGGTTGGTAGGGCGTTTGACTCGTGTTCGTGAGACACTGAAGAATCCCTGCGCATTAAACGGTGGCTGGGGTGCATGTTAAATTTGTCGTGGTCACAAAGTCCTCCAAGTTCTCATAATAAATCAATACCTCTAGGAGTACTGAATTTTAATATAAATGGGTCCTTCCTGTAAAATGGGCTGTGACGTACGTGCGTCTGAAGTCGTATGCTTGGCCATGGATGGCGCCACTGAAAAACAAGAAACGCATCCTCTGCCTTAAAAATTCGCTTGGATTCCAATAGCAGGCTTGTTGATATTGGCAGGTGGCATTAGTAACAACAACAATGAGAAGTGTGATTACTCATTGAATACCGTTTTGATAAGAAATATATATATATAATTTTAAAAAAACAGTTCTGGTAAAATAAAAGAAATCTCACATTATTCCCTTCCCTTTAGCTTTGAGTTCAAAACGCTTTAAACGAAACCCCAATATTTGCCTTTATTTTGTTTTTATTGCAAAATGTAATAATTTAAAGGACAATTCCGAAATGCTATTTATTTTTTAATTTATAATGTGTTGCTGAACAGTACAATCCTTTGTATTAAGGATTGTATTGTACAACAACATATTACACGCATTAAGCGTACAAAATGTAGTGAACGAGGAGTAACAATTGTAGTTTGTACTTAGTTTTTATTGCAAAATATTCTGAAATATTCTTCCATATACGGTATTTCTATTGCAAAATGTGCTGTTGTACTATAAAATATCATTCTTCAGTACAATCGCATATTTAGTTTCTTCTCTTTCTTTTTTTTTTCCTTTTTTTTTTTGTAAAATTTACTGAATACAATTCTCAAGCAAAGAGAGTTAAACAATTAAAAATCACCAGGTTTTCACGATACATTCAATATAGCAATATAAACCAGAAATATGAGCATACGACAATCAATAATCTTTATGTTGTTCATTTTCGCAAATTTAAATGCGTACTTATTTGAAAAATTATAATTCCGATTTCAGTCATTTGTAGCTTTGTCTCAAGAAATGAATAAATAAAAATTGTATTTTAAATCATCCAACTCTTATTTTTGTACATATGTCTTTTTTTTTTTTTTTTTTAATNTTTTTTTTTTTTTTTTTTGCTGAACATAAGCAGAATTTATTTTTTGCGCAAAAGTATAGTTTTATTATTCTTCAATAACTAAATGACATTAGAATAAATAACATCGAGCCACCAATAATTAAACAAACAAAATAGCTATTTATTCCAAGGTTTAAGGTCATGCGTTCTAAGGTTAAGGGTAAAACCTTAAAACTATTGCGCCGATTGGCAGCAATAATTATAAGTTTTTGAAAAAATTGCTCAATTGCTCCTTGTTTATCACGTTAGGTACTCCTGTATATACAACAACTTATAACAAAATTACGATCTGGTAAGGTGTCCCTCACACTGCCGATTGGTGAGCTAGCGGTAGTGAGTTCGATCCTGGCAACCGACAATACAACCGGTGTGTATACACAGTAAGGTGCATGTTAAATCTGTAGAGGCTGTAAGTCTTTTCCTTGGTTGTGGTTTGAAGAAAGAGAAGAACCAGCTCAGGCGCTGACCACGTTGTCTGATCAAGGTCAAAATTATGTGACCTTTTTTCCATGGCCGATAAAAAAATAAAGACCTTAAAAACGGGGCTGGGTGCTTAGCCATTGTTGGGTGGTGTATGTATGGTCCAACCTTTCCAATTCTGCAATTTTTCAACTGACTTAATTTTCGCTTTTTCAACAAGGAATTCTCACCATTGAAAAGTTAGTTAAATTCCCTTTCGTAGCATAGGATGTTTTTCCCTATTTCTTTTGACACAATTCAATTGTCTGAATATTCATTCTCTCGCACAAATTCCTCACATTAAAATCAAAATATTTTTCTCCCGCAAATTTCTCCCCATATTTATTAATCTCTTTTATTTTTTTTCCCTTCCCCAGAAATCTTTAGACCTTCAATTTATTATCTCTCTCGCACTAATGTGAGCTTCCATTTCCCTATACATTATTCATATCATTAAAAGGTTTTATTCAATTTCCAACTTTTTTGCCTTTTTCTATTCGCGTTTTTCCTTCTAAAGCGCATCTCAACCATTTTTTCCCCATTTTTATTTTCCTTACACACTCATTCTTTTGCGATAGCTTCATTAAATTACAGGTAAAGCAACCTTAATCCCTGTGATAGAGAAGTAAGAATTTCGAAAGAATTGTAGATACTTGAAGGGGAGGGAGTCGAAGGTATTCGAGAACTTTTACTCGTCTTTTTAGCAGAGTGCTCCGTCTCATTAAGAACTTTATATTGAACGGAAGCTTTAGTTCTTCTAAAGGAAAATGAAGGATAAAAAACAATGGGAAAAATGCCCCTTATTGAATTATTCGTTATATCACTGGGCATTAATTAAGGAATCTAGTTCGCTTTTTAAGATAATTCGATTTTGTTGGGTAGGATTTGATTATTTGAGTTGTAAAAATTGCTAAAGCCTTGAAATGTATATTACCATCTTCTTTATTATTTTCTAGCACGATTTTTCGGAATTTCTTTGAGCGGAAATTGGAAAAAAATTAATTAATTATTGCGTGGATTGTCGATGTTCTTTTTGTTTTAAGATTGGGACTGCCTTTTTTTTAATGAAAAACATATTTAGTTTATCATTAGGTTAATATTGTTGATACCGCCCGTGTGGGTATTTGTATAAATCCCTTCTTTGGTATAATTCGTTAAATTAGGGTATTATTTCTAAAAATAATTTTAAAAAAAAGAAATATTCAATTGCTTATGTTTTAATCCATTAAGGATTTTCATTAATTAATCTCTTAAATTATAACTTAGTATTGTGCAATGAAGGAAAAAAATTAAAACAGTGTCGCAATCATGCTCACCATATCGTTTCATTTTTTCCAAGTATAATTTCAGCATGCTGTTAATCTCTCCCGCCTGTTTGCAAAAAGAAAATAATCAAACAAATAAAAAAATGAATAAATAATGAGAAATCAAATTATTCTCTTATTAATGATTTATTTTTATTTTTTACAATTTTATAGTTGAATTATCAAAATTAAATTAATTTATGAGAGTTGGAAAAGACAACTAATGCGTTTTTAAATAGAACTTATACTTCATATGCTTATGCTCGAGAACCATTAATGAGCTAATCTGCAATAAGGGTGATCCGTTAAAGTGTAGAGTCAAGAGTTTTCAACAATTTATTTATGTAATGTTCGTATAAACTATTTTCGTATCTCTAAAGTTAATTAATTTCTCTCATTCAGTCATTTACTTTGATTATTTGGTTGTATTTATTGACTTCAAATATTGAAAATTAAATAAATGCCATTATGTTTACTTCCTTCAAATATCGAAAATTAAATAAATGCTATTATGTTTACTTCCTTCAGATATCGAAAATTAAATAAATGCCATTATGTTTTCTTCCTTCAGATATCGAAAATTAAATAAATGCCGTTATATGTTTACTTCCTTCATTGTAATGATATTTTAAACCTTTTTTCTTTGTATTATGTTTTTTTAAAGATTTGATTTCTATCAACTAGTGTGCTTGATTGTATTAATTTGATTTTATAGCTAACGAAAAATAAATAACATTTTATTAAATTAGTAGTATAGAAACGTTGCTGTTCATGGTGCGTAGCGTTTTTAAAAAGTACTTAAAGGTGCTTATTTTCTATTTTCGTTTTTTAAAAGCCCTTAAGGGTGCTTTTTCAATAGGGAGCTTATAAAAAGTGTGTAATTTTCCCTTTTCGAAAATGAGATTTTTTTCTTTACCGTCTATTTTCGCCACGTATTATGCAAAAGTGTGCTTTTCAGATTGTTCTATTTAACGTTTTCGCAATTCATTCAACCATAAGCCATTTCGGCCTACCGTCGGTCCGTAGCACCAATCATTTTACATGTTTGATGAAATACTTGTGAGTCCGCATGTGCGTCTACTAAGCTGAGTTCGGTGAGATTCTAGCACTCTCAGGTGCAACTTTGCTGCATTTTGAAAGATATTCTCAATTTCAAGCTTCATTTTCCACCCTCTGAAATCGAACCGAAAAATCTCTCGATCTTTTTATGGTGGCAAATATAATCAAGAAAAGAGTTCGTCAGAAACTAGTTATTTTATCACGATCATGTAGAGTCTTTGAAAATTAATTTTAATTTTGTTAGTGTATATAGCGCTTAAAAATATTTTTCAGTGCTTAAAAAGTACTTAAAAGGTGCTTATTTTTTGCTGAAAGGTTTGGCAACGCACCCTGCTGTTGTTTCAGCAAAGATTTTATAAGGTTCGTAGTTGTCCCAATATTTCCGATTTTTAAAATGAAATAGATTTGAGAGCAATTTAAAAAATATATAATCGCAAATAAAATATATTTGATTATATTTATTTATTTATTATGTTGTTTTTTTATAAATGTGTAATTTTGTGATGAAATGTTTAAAATTAAATACACATGTGATCCGGGAAGTAGAAAATAATCACAAAAATTATATTTCTAAATATTTTATTAAAAAAAATCGGAAGCGACTGCAAGAAATCTGCATATATTTCTTACGAGTTTAATTAACCTCAGCGTTTCTTAATGATATTTCCATCTATTTTTGTTTGCTCTTTCTTTATTCGTTTTTTAAGTTTATTTTGCAGCAGAATAGCCGCATTCGGCTCTTGTATGATAAAACTCTATTTTTAATATTTTCTTTATGACCCTATGAAAAGGCTCAACTTTTATTAAAAAAATTGTCCAATTCATACCGAACACCTTGTCAATAATTTGCTTTTAATATAACGAACCCGTATTGTCTTCAATTAGTCTTAAAGCATGGTCCAAATTTAAACCTGATTGAGGCTTGAAGACCATACAATCTTTAAGATTATAAAGCTCAACTTTAATAACGAAGATGTTCTAAGTAAACTCTTTATCAGTATCAAGGCATTTTATTTAAATACAACGCTATCTTTTTTTATCAGATAACGGAACTCAATTTGTACAAAAACGCGTACAAATTATAAAGACGGCATGAAATTTGAATAAATGTTTCATTATTTGCTTTACGTGATACAATATTTTGAAAAAATATTGTTTCTATTCTTCTCCATTTTGATTTAAGATACATATGTAAATGTTTATCCTAACGGAGTGTTATTTGACCACGAAGCAAATATGTTTAAACTGTAAATTGTATACCAACATATAAATAAATGGATGCGAAGTGTTTAGAATTCCATTCGTAACTTATTCTTGTTAGTAGAGCATATAAAATAAAAACAAATGAATGAAATATACAAAAAAAACTAGTTCATTTTCTTGAATTCTATGTATGCCTTATGATTTAAACCATTTTACCTTGCTTTTCAAAGTTAGGCATTAGGGATTTCCCCCTCTCTATTGTTTCTTTTGTTATCATTTTATTCCAAAAGCTGATTATAATCCATTCGTTTTCGGACCAGTTGTTCGTAATAAGCCTTAACAATTTTATTCTCCTCTTCTTTTTTGGTTGGAATCCAAATCGGAATACTAAAGTTACGGAGAAAAACTTCCGATACAAATAAATGGCGGAAAAAGCAGAAGAAGCATAACATATTCCACTACCCGCGCCATCTAACGGAATTCTCTGAAACTAGAGCAGCACATTGCTTAATGACGCGAGTTGATACTCTTTTTCTTTCTTCGGTCAAAGAGTTTTTATACAGTATTGGAAGTCGTTTTTCTTATAAAGAACTCGAAAAATATCTACCCCTTTTTTTTTATATAGGATTAAAAATATCGATATAATTTTTTTTAAGTTATTTGTGATGGAAGAAATATTTTTCGCTTCAAAGGAGCACATTACACAGCTGATAGATTCAATTCTGAAATCCATCTTACAAATAGCTACGTTTGAATTGTTTAAGTGGAATGATCAATTTTTTAAGGTATTTGAATCGTTTCCTGAAGGAAAACAATTTGTTAAATCAATGTGCTGACTACTATGTAATTAATTTTAATAATTTTTACCTTATTTATTCAAATTCAGAAACCGCCCCAAACTTTGTGAAATTGTTGAAAAATCTGCTAATAATTTTTTAAATCTAAGCACAATTAGTGTAGAATCGTTTTTTTTTTTCGAAGATCCTGCTTTTGTAAACAACACAAAAATCCTGATTTTCAAGGAGTTAAAGTTTTAAAATTGTGATTTAAGGACGTCAATGGCACCAATTTTCGCATAAAACAATGTTTTTCAAAGAATTGTAGTTTTAAAATAGTGATTTAATGTCATCGAGGAAAATTTTTAATTATAATTATTCAAATAATTTTTTAAAAAAATTCAAAGGAGAATATTTTGTAAAGGGTTCGTTTTTTAAGATATATATGTATGAAAAGTCTGTTATAACAATAAAATAATTTGTAAAGGGTCTGTTTTTATGAGTTGAAGTTTTAAAATTGTGATTTAAAGACATCAATGTAACCATTTTTCGCATAAAACCATGTTTTTTTCAAAGAACTGTATTTTTAAAATTGTGATTTAAGGTCATCGAGGAAAATTTTTAATTGTAATTATTCAAATATTTTTTTTAAAAAATTCAAAGGAAAAATTTTGTAAAGGATCCGTTTTTTAAGATATATTTATGAAAAGTCCGTTATTGCAATAAAATAATTTGTAAAGGGTCTGTTTGTATGATAAAATAAATGCGTAATTATTTTTTTTGTTTTTGAATCTGTGTCAGTTGTGTTTTATTTGGTATAACTTAACCCACATAAAATTCAACGAAACTGCCGCGCTTTAACCTATACTATTTTTATAATTTCAGAGGACATCTACAAACATCCAGAAGATGACCAAAAGTTTTATGCCGTCTTCACAACATCAATGTAAGTTTAATTTCAGCATCATAATTCTTTTATTAATATTAGTTTGAATTAATCTGAATATCAGACTAGCGTATCAGTTATAGCTTAGGGGACAGAGCGTCCGCCTTCCAACGAAGTGAACCGGGTTCGAGTCCTAGCGATGGCTGGTGGATACGAATTCACATCCGGCTTTCACCCACCACAGTGCTGACGTGAAATATCCTCAGTGGTAGACCGATCATTGGTTAGAGTCCCCTTGCTGTGAGGCTAACCGTAGGAGGTTCTCGTGGTCTTCCTCTCCACTTAACGCAAATGCGGGTTAGTTTCATCAAAAACTCCTCATCGAAGACAAATTTCTCCCTATACTTGATCTGAGAGTTTCCTTGTCTTCAGGATTGGGTTCAAAATTGCAAGGCTACGGAGTTGAACATTAGTAGTCGTAAACCCAAAAATTGGGTCGGGTGTTCAAGGACGGTTACATACATAACGTAACAGTTACCTAAATCGACTATAATTTCAGTTTATCTTGACATTGGACACCCTCCCAATACATAGGACGATCGTGAATACATAAGACGTGATACATAGGACGAAAAAGTATTTTTGAAATCTGCCCAAAAGATAAAGTATCCATGAGCAGCCATTCTCTACTAAGAATATCTTGCTACAGCAATAGATGTATGCGGACCAGCAGCAGTTATAGAACTGTATTAGAACCGAATCTTCCATCCCAGCAATAATTGCAAACTGTTTTATAACCAACGTTGATCTATTGAGTGTCTATCCCACGTTGAACTTTGTTTTCTTTGGATTCAACTCAGAAGAAAAATCTTGGTGTCGTTTTTCTGAAGGACTTTCTGGTTTAAACCATAAACTAATAATATAAGTAGATTGCTCTCGCATACGTAGTGCAAAATTCACATTTCTCACGAAATTGTTGAACCTTAACATTCCTGATCCCCTTTGTTCTCAACTGTCTGTTGCTGGACTGGTTTACCTAATAGTGATAAAATGTTAGCATCGATACTTCATTGCAAAGGTTTGGAGTTTAGTCTTAAGACTAAAGTCCAAATTCAACTTCATTGCAAAGGTTTAGAGTTTAGTCTTTAGACTAAAGTCCAAATTCAACTTCATTGCAAAGGTTTAGAGTTTAGTCTTAAGACTAAAGTCCAAACCTTTGCAATGAAGTATCGATACTAACATTTTATCACTATTAAGTAAACCAGTCCCGCAACAGACAATTGAGGACAAAGGGGATCAGGAATGTTATGGTTCTGTAACTTCCACAATAGACAGTTGAGAGCAAAAAAGATCATGGAGGTTTAGGTTCTACAATTTCGTGATCAATGGTATGATGGTAGAAGTGTGGTCAGCATTGTGCACTATGTCGACCGCAGGCAAGCTAGTACCCATCGATCTAGAGCTAGATGACAGATGGCCCTAAAGCTAGATGATAGAAACTGCTAGATGGCCCTAAAGCTAGATGATAGAAACTGGTAGAGATAGATGACCCTAAAGCTAGAGGATAGAAACTGGTAGAGATAGATGACCCTAGATGATAGAAACTGATAAAGATAGATGGCCCTAAAGCTAGATGATAGAAACTGGTAGAGATAGATGGCCCTAAAGCTAGATGATTGAAACTGATGAAGATAGATGGCCCTAAAGCTAGATGATAGAAACTGCCTGCTGTCGACATAGTGCGCAATGCTGACCTCATTTCTACCATCATACCGTTGGTCACGAAATTGTGGATTTACTTTTACTGTTAATTTTTATAAATACTTTTACTGTGAGAAAAAAAGATTAGGTGCACTTTAACCATAGTTTAAACTTCAAATCAATAATACCTAATTCAATAAATTCAATCCAGTCTATTCCAGCATCAATAATTAAAAAACTACTTTTAGGAAATTAGAACCCTTTATTTCATAACAACGTTGTATTTTTCCTAAGACAACATCATTCTCTAATAGAATCCTCTCTTGACTGGGGAGGGGGGGGGGACTAAATAGGCAAAGGCCGACCACTCGCTCACTTGTTTAAGGAAACATGCAAATTTTTCCCTGTTAATGACATTTCCCTACCAAACACAATTAATTAGTGATAGTGCATTGGATTTTCTGGTTGTCTTTTCTTGTTCGCCTTGCAAGGCTTTTGTACCATCAACTTTTTTTCTTTCTTAGTTTGCTTGGGGCCTAAGTTAGGGAATATATTATTACTCCTCAATGATACGATTTCTTGAAAGTTGTTTTCTAAAATTAATCATTCAAAGCTGAGGAAGTTACCGAAATAAGCTTCTTGTTTTCTTGACTTCTTCAAGATTTCTTTGTTTAATTCCTTTTAAATCTAAACAAATGTACGTTATGATCAATGTACAAACTATTATAAAATGTTTACCACCCGAGGTACAAGTCTGATGGCTCTTTTGAATAGTTGGCAGATTTATACGGAGTTAATTTAACTGTTCTTCTTTATTTGGCGACATGCCGTACAATACATATTACTTTCTTTTTTTTTAATAATTTATTCATAATTAATCATTAATACTTGTACCATAAAATATCCTTAAGCAAAATGTTAGAGCATCGGGGTTATGAGTTGAAGCTGAATTAACTATAAAGGAATTTTGTATTTTCAAAGTTGGGTTAAAAACTATAAATCTTTAGGAAAGTGATGTCGATTATTAAAGGTTATAAATTGAAATTTTTCTGTTTATTTCGATTTTTGTATTTTAGAATTTTATGAACGTTTTGTAGTTACTGTCTGATTTTTAAATAATTAAAAAACAGTATCTGCTAATGGCGAGTAAAGTGGATTGTGCTAATTTAGCAACTTAACATTATGATTTTAATAAATAAAACTAAAAAATATTTTTTTTAATGGCGGGCACTTGGGATGTATTGTCCCATTGGCCAGGAGGGCCAGAACTGCTACTCTCTTCTCGTTACCCAGTGGGCACCTGTGGCTAAGCCACAGCGGTGGAGCAGCGTCGCCCACGTCACACAACCACAAACCAGTTTATAGGACGGGTCACATTCACACAATCACAAAAAGAAGAAAGGACATAGAACTCAGAAAGAAAGAAACATCCATGCCCTGAGAGGGATACGAACCCGCAACCATCGGCTCCGCAGTCAGGCACGCTAACCACCCGGCCACCTGGTCGGCAAACTAAAAAATATAAAAATAATCATTAATTTCTCATAAACAATCATTCTGAACCTATAATGAAAAACCTTTTCTATTGTTTAAACACAGAGACGCAAAAGAAAAACAAACAAGCTGCAACCGAGGGAGGAAAGAGGAATTAATACGGAAAACGTTATCTTTTGAATGCAATGCGCCTTACTTTTTAGGCGGGTCGAAAATAAAAAATTCTAGTCTATTTGAAAATCATAGATTTTAAGATTTGATTTTCTTTTTTTTCTATTTGATATATTATTCCTTTGCTAATGGTGTACCATGTTGTACCACCGCATATGGTCCACATGTTGTACCAGCTGTAAGCAAAAGGTTGAATAGAATAAATAATTAATTTAAATAAAGAACTGTTTATAGCTATTAACTAAGTATTTCTTAATTACTGGTCACTGAGTAATTATGTATATAAGTAATTATTTAATAAAATAATTTGAGATTATGATTCTGAAAAATTTCTGAGTTTAAGAGGGAAATAATTATAGAATTATGTATTAAAAAAAATTGACTATCATGCCTTTGGAATTTACTTCCGCAAAAGGCAGATTATATTGACAGCGTTTTCAAATCATTACTTACTAATCATTTGAGGCATACGAGTTTCATGGGAAGAAAAATTCATAATTACTTCGTTCACCGATTTTTTTTTATTGCTAGTTTTTTGCTCTTTTCGAAAAGTGAAAAAGACAAAAAGAATAGTGGTCGCTATTTTTCGCTACACTAATTGAAGTTTTGCAATTAACGCAGTGCGAGAGGGGGGAAACTAAGGTTAATTGTATTTCATATAAATGTATACCATAGCACTAAAAAAAATTACCTTAAATTAAAAAGACGGGACGGTTAATTATAGACTTAAGGGGGGAAATTAATGTTACTGCCCATTAAGAATAAAATAAAAATGCAATCTTAACTTTTAAAACACGTTAATTGCTGGCTCTGAAACAGGTAGGTCTGTTTTATACAGGAATTTATTCTTTGCAATGTTATAACTAAATTAAAGTTTAGCTTGTTTTTATGCTACTATCTTAAGAATCTGGTAAATTTTAAATTTTTTAAAAATTGTGAGATGTTTTGAAATGTGTAAATAAAGTGTTTTCTGTTTAGAGAGCACAAACTCGCATTTTTTTATTCGAGTTCATTTCATTTCGATTCGATACAAATGATTTCTCTACACTAAAACAAGAGATTTTAATTTAATCGTTTTCTGTTTTATTATAATTGTTTTAATTTCATTTTACTCAAACGATTTATCTGTACAAAGCTTCAGTTAGCAAGACTTCAGTTTAATAGTTTTTTTAAATCTTTTAGATTACATTTTTTTTCTTTTTTACTTTTTTTATGTAGTAATCTTTTTCATCAGCAATTTTTCTGTAAAAAAAACGACAGACTATAGTTGTATCGTTTTTGAAATTTTAAAATCATATAGATTACATTTATTTATTTTATTTATATATATTCATATTTGTCAAATAATTTCTTTGTACAAAAACTTTAAACTTAAGTTTTGAAATCTAATCGGATGCGTTATTATAAATATTATAATTATTTACTATTCATTTTCTTCAAACGATTTTTGTACAAAGCGGTAAACTTTAATTTAATCGTTTATATTTTAAAAATCAAATCAGAAAAAATCCATACAATTTTCATTCATAAGGTTTGAAAATAAATCTTACAAAATAACTTTAAACTCACTTTTGTATTAAACTTAGAGTAGTAATTTAATCACTTTGAGTTACTTAAAGCAATTTATTAGAAAATTTATATAATGTCATCATTACTTCTTTTTGTAAAAATTTAAATTGTAGAGAAAAGATCTATTTTAATTTTTTTGTTTTAAAAATTCACTAAAATAAATTTTTTAGAATCTTTATTTAACTTCTTCAAAAAATTTGATATTGTAGAATTAATTAATCGTTCTTAAAATAAATTAGAAAAATATTAAGTAAACTTAATAACACATTTTTTCTCCTAAAAATTAAATGTAAAATGGGACATTGAATGAAAATATAATATAATTCATTCTTTTTTAAAACTTGTAGAATAAAATTCTAAAAGTTTCAGAGTAAAAATTAATTAATAATGTTTTATATCACAAAAGTCTTTGTAATTTATAATTTTATCTCATAAGGCAATAATGGGTTTTAGGTTTTTACTTTTTTTTTAAATGTATTAAAAACATTTGCAAAATTATCGTTTTATAATGCTGAAGTTCGTAAAAATTTTATATTAAGTAATTATTTCTGGATAAGTTTATTTATTTCTAAAAGTTTCTGTAATCATATAAATAATAGAATAAATATTAGAGAATTAATTTTTTTTAAATTATCCTCTTAAGAAACTTTACATTACAGTAATAATTGAAAAGTTTAACTGTTTTTACAATTTCATATTGATAAAGAAATTAAAATATATTATAAATTTTAATTTTTATTTATCAGGAAATCACTACGTAACATAAACTTACCATCATCAAATCGATATCATCGATATCAATATAAACTTCATCAATCGTATCATCAAATCCAGATATGATTTACTTGAGTTTTAATACTAAGTCATATTTATTATTCTTTATGATTATTGTTATAATCTTAAATGATTATGAGCCATATTTGGCAACTAATGATAAAAGCTTTATTCGAATATCTTAAAAATTTAAAAAGTTACTAGCAATTTTAACAAGCAAGTAGTTTTTGTACTTTTTAAAACAGATTCAAAATGATAAGGGGTTTTCTACAAATGTTATTTTGTATAAGGCAAAATTAAATATCAAATGACAATACTTTAAAATAAACGTTCATATACGGAAATATGATTGTATAATAAAGAAAATATATGGGGGATGATTATCAACAATGCCGGTGTCATTTTTAATAAATCTTCTTTAAAAGTACAAAATAAAATTTTTGGTAAACCCCGTATCATTTGAGCTTTCTTTTAAAAAGTACGAAAGCTACTTAGAATTGCTAATTTGCTTGAAACTTTTTCAATTTTTGGTATAGTCAAATCGAATTTTTTTATTAGTTGCCAAATACGGTTCATTAAAAAATTTAAAAGATAAAAAAATTTAAATTTTTCTCGCGCATTCGTAGTATAAAAGAACTTTCTTAATTACTCATATCTTGCGCAGTTTTAAACAAATTTTTCTCTAATTTCAAAATAAAATTTTGAGGTTAATAAAAAATTGAGGTCTTAAAAAATTTTGTTCAGCTTTATTGAATATTTTTAAAGTTATATCAAAAAAAGCGTACGACAAAAAAATTAATTTTTTATAAAAATATCCATATTTTCAAAAATAATTTAAGCTACGTTTGCAAAATATGTGTAATTATTGCATATAATAACAAAAATAGTTGTTAAAAGTTACAAATTTATTGCTACATTTTTTGCCATAAGGTGTTTAAAAAAACGTTTGTAATTTGTTGTTGTTCCCTCAAACCTCTGAAAGCTTTAAACTTCATTGATAAGTTTGAGAAATCGCGTGTGATCTAAACACTTATTTATAAAAATTATTCTTTAAGTATTTTTTGTGAAAGATCGCAATATTTGTTAGAAGTTTTCATTATTTTGTGTCTTTATAATTATTCCACAGTTTTAAGATAAAATTCAAACATTTCATTTATTCTTTTTTTGCTTTCAATAGCAGCTTCATACTCTCAAAAGAACTAAAAAATATTTGCAATGTCATATTAAACCATTGCTGTCCCATGGGTACACCATAAATTTAAATAGTGGCGACTTTATTAATTAGTATCTTTTGAAGTAAAAGGGAAATAAATTATTGCAACGTTTGATTTACGAATCCATAATTCAGAAAAGACATTTTCACTTTTAATTAAAAATCTTACTATATGAAGAAGTAAGGGATATTTCGCCAATATTCCCTTTCAGATAGTTCAGAAGCTCCTACAAATTAATTGGAGAGATATTCTCATTAGTGAAGGATGCTGTTTATATACTACGAGAATAATATTGATTGATTCGTGAAACTGCCACCCGAGGGCGCTGGGAGCTGATGAGGGATCATTTGAGAGTCAAATCTAATTACGTTTGTTTGATTTTTCTTCTTTTTATATTTTGAATGCGGTTTGAATTGGAGAACTGTTGAGAGGAATAAAATTAATAATCTTTTTACTGTTGAAAGCTTATTTGTTTATTTTAAAAGAACATTTTATAGTGTTGCCATTTTCTTACAAATAAATAATGCACAATTTAAGCTTCAGTGTTTATCAATAAGAATGTTTTTATTTGGTTTTCTTAATATTCTAAAGTAAATATTGTTTATCATTTTTCAACCAATTGTATTAGGGTTGAATAATTTATATGTTAAATAAATTCAATCTTATAAATTTTCTCTAATGTTGTTTTACTTGTATTTATTCGAAAATAATTCATCAGTTTTTTAAAAAAAAATTTCTTGTGCATTTTTCATTCGAAATATTTTTTCAATTACTCTATTGTATTTTTTGTTTGTTCCTACTTGCTGTTGCAAGTATATGCATTTTAAAGTATTTGTAAATAAATTTATTAAACTTTAAAAAATTGATATTTTCTTGGGGGATTATATTAAGTCCCCTTTAATTAAATGGGTGAAATGTTGTAATTTGTGAAGAAAAAAATTTTTTTAATAATATTTACATAATTTGGCGGAATTTAAGGTTATATGCTTTTCAGAATTAAAACATTAATTATCCGGTAGTGGTTTTATGGTATTTAATGTACAGAAATATTAAATGGTTGCTGGTATTTTCTGGATGCTTACTGAAGCATAAGTAAAGGCTAGTGTATTCTTGATGTTTTCAGTTTTGAAATAGTAAATATAGGCTAGTGGTTTCCTGTATTCAATTCTGAAACAGTATATATATAAGCTAGTGGTCCCATATATAATCTGTTTTCAATTATGAAGCAGTATATATTAGCTAATGGTTCCTTACATAATCTGTTTTCAATTCTGAAACAGTATATATAAGCTAGTGGTTCTATACATAATTTGTTTTCAATTCTGAAACAGTATATATATAAACTAGTGGTTCCATGCATAATCTGTTTTCAATTCTGAAACAGTATATATAAGCTAGTGGTTCTATACATAATCTGTTTCCGTACAGAAATATTAAATATTAGCTAGTATTTTCGGATGCTTTCAGCATAAAAGAATTTAGTATAGGCTTGTGGCTTCCTGTTTTTTCACCACTGAAACATTACATATAGACTAGTGATTTCCTGATGTAGTTTCCTAATATTTTGATGACATTTTCGTTTTTAGGAATGGACTGACAGGATCAGCAGTTTGTACTTTCAGTCTTGATTCAATCCAGGAGGTATTCAACGGGAAATTCAAAGAACAGGCCACTTCTTCATCTGCCTGGTTGCCCGTTCTCAGCAGCAAAGTTCCCGAACCAAGACCCGGACTCTGCGTCAACGACACTCAAACACTTCCGGACTCTGTCCTGAATTTCATTCGAGGTCATCCACTGATGGACAGCGCTGTTGCTCACGACAATGGAAAACCAGTGTTCTTCAAGAGAGATATCCAACTTTCCCGACTAGTCATTGACAAATTGGAAGTGGATGGTTTGCCTTTTACAGTCTTCTATGTCGCTACCAGTAAGTTGTTCCATCTTCAAACCAATTAGGCTTAGCAAAAAGTAATTTAGCTTTACAAAGCTTTAATTCGGTTCGGTAAACTAAAAAGTAATACAGCATTAGAAAAGTAGTTTCATCATCATCGTAGTTGGTCAGATAGCCCAATGTTAGACAATGCCTTCCTCTGAAGATTTCTCCACGACGACTTCCGATTTACCTTGGACCTCCAATTCTTTTTATTAATTACAAGAAAACCAGACTCCACTGAGTCAGCCCATCTCAACCGCGGCCTGCCCCGCTTCTTGTTCCAGTGGGTCTAAAAATCAGTAACTTTTTTATTGTATTGTCATCACTCATTCGAATCACGTGGGCCATCCAATTCATTCTATTTATTTTTATGTATTTAATAATATAAGGTTGTTTATAAATCTTGTACAGTTCAAAGTTAAATCTCCTTCTCCAATTGTTGTTTTCATTTACACCAACAAGTATACTCCGCAAAATCTTTCTCTCAAATATTGCGATACAATTTTCCTCCAGTTNAGGTCGACGGGATAACCCTCAAAAGCTTATGTCAAGACTGGCCGGACAAGAGTTTTGTAGATTAAGAACTTTGTTTTTTCTAACAAAAGTAGTTTATCTTTGCAAAAAAACTAAAGCTTTTTGTAAAACTAAATTTTTCTAAAATACTTCGGGAATGTAGGAAATGAAATTAGAATTAATTTTCAAACATTAGAAAAAGATCATTTACGAAATATTTCGAATTTTTCAAAATATAGAATGATTCCCAGAAATCAAGGTCAGTATGTGAAAAACATTTGAATGATTTCAGCAGAAAAAGTTATCATAGAATATTTAGAACTCCAAGTATGGAGGACAACGACAGTATAATACGGTATGCGTCTTAAAGTCCCTTATAAACGTTATGTGCACAACTTCAAACATTTCATGACACAGTTATAAACAGCATAAAGGTTTACCTATGAAGGAGTTAATCTCTTCAATTTATAAAACATTAACTTGACTAGACTTTTTACATTTTTATTAAAATAACCCATTCCCGCTAGCTATAGCAATGTAGCATTAATTAACTAGTGCTTCATAATGTCTTCTACACTAAGAAGCGCAATAATGCATTTTTGTTCTCTTTTTCTTTTGTTAAATGCTATTTTCTTTAATAGATGATGGAATTATATACAAATTGGTCGAATGGTATAACCGGGATGGAGAAGAGCATTCTAATCTAATCGATATTTTCGAAGCCACCACACCTGATCCTATCAGGTCCATGGAATTTTCCAGCAAGGTAATTATCTTTATGACTCATGATTAATAACTAATTAATGTTTCTTGAATACGTTCTATCTGTCTCTGACATTTTTGAAATCTTTATTGAAATGGAAGAAAACCGGAAACAAACATGTATTTAATAGGAAAATTTTTATTCTTTTTCTTTAATTAATCGATTTGTATGCTGGAGTTATATACTTTTTTTTTAAATAGAATCGGCCTCACGGTGATGCAATTTTCCTACTCTCCACACTTTTCCCCTTTCGGTAAATCTTGTTCGTTCCAACTTCTTACTGCAATCTTCTATCATGAGAAAATTGCAAGATTTGGCGAAAAATGGTAATGAAGAGGGGGAAAGTATGAAAAGTAGGGAAATCACTTGACCTAGAGACCCTTATTCTATTTAAATAGAGTATAGGTTTACACCTATCAAAACTTGAGTTCGAAATCATTTACTTATTTTTCGAATAGAATTTATAACCCGCTATCGAGCTGCCTCTCTATAATTGCACGAGACGTGCTTTTTTGTTTAAAAAAGTTTCTCAAATGCATACGTTTAAAACTTCTTTGTCAGATTAATGAATTGTTACCTTCTATTTCAGCACAAATCATTGTACATTTCATCTGATTCATATATCCGGCAATTTGACGTCATCATGTGTAAAGGAAGATATGACAGTTGCCTGAGATGCATTCAGGACCCTTACTGCGGCTGGGACAAGGACCACAACGAATGCAAACCTTACGTCACAGGGTAAATTACATTTTGTAGTGTTATTTTAGCGTATAAAAAATGATTGTCTATCGTTTAAAAAATTTTTCATTCAATTTAACGGAAATATGCATGGAAAAAAAATTAGTATTTAAAAGACTACTAATAGGAAGCTTTTATCGAAAGCAAAACTATCTAACCAATAACTTTCTAAAGATGCTAAGAATATTTCTTGTTGCAAAAATTGCCCAAGTGAACTGTTCAGTTTCACACATTGTCCCACAGTTTCACACATTGAGAATGAACCTCCTATTCGTAAAGCTTCTAAAAGAGACATTTTTATGATGTTCCATGAGAATGGTTTCACATTGTTTCATGAATATTAACCTCTATTCATTAAGCTTTTAAGAGAAATTTTTATGTTGTTCCATGAGAATAGACCTTCTATTCATTGAGCTTCTAAAAGAGACATTTTCATGATGTTCCATGAAAATGGACCTTCTATTCATTAAGCTTTTAAGAGAAAGTTTTATGTTGTTCCATGAGAATGGACCTTCTATTCATAAAGCTTCCAAAAGAGACATTTTTATAATGTTCCATGAGAAAGAATCTCCTATTCATTGAGCTTCTGAAAGACATTTTCATGATGTTCCATGAGAATGGATCTCCTATTCATAAAGCTTCTGAAAGAGACATATTTATGATGAAAAATATAATTTTGATAGTATTTCATCATCATTCTTTTTAAAAGTGTATAGAATATCTATCACCTATTCTTATATTTTTTTAATTATTATATATAACGTACAACAAACTAATCTAATTATTATTTTTTGCAGTCTCCTTCAAGATGTTACAAATGCAACACCAGGAATATGTGACAGTAGTAAGTATTTTTATTAAATCGAAACTAAATAGAATCATTATGTGTTTGTTAAATGGCATTGTCATAATAATAATTGTTTAATAAAGTTCGCCAAATTCTTTAGAATGCTCGATTGCTATTATTTTCTATCTTTATTTTAATCGAGTGTGTGTTTAGCTGTGTGGAAAATGTAAATCATGTTATGGAACGACTTTCTTCACTGACAGCACACAGAATTCTGTGTTTTGGCAACGAGAAATAGTTTTTCTGGAATTATTTATTCTCTTTTCAATTTGTCTACCATACTTATGTTGCCTACATTCTATGAAATGTCAGTATTCTGTAGAATGCCTTTGTTTTAGAATAGAAAACCTGGCGTTTTTAGGCAATGTATGAAATATAGCACCATTTTATATTTTATCTACTCATTTTGTAGCTTTTACATTAGATATTCTATAGAATACCTTGTCAAATGAAAAGAATGCCTGACGTTTTTAGGCAATGTATGAAATATGAGCTCTATTTTATATTTTATCTAGTCATTTTGCAGGATGCCTGCAAATTTTACATTAGAAATTCTAAGATTGATTGAACGTAGGGTTTAATGGCACAAAGTCCAAAGATGGACATGCTGTGCCAAACAAATGGTTTCTAAATAAAGGTAATAGAAATTCTAAGAGTCCAATGAAGGGAACCGGGTTCGAATCCGGCGATGGCTGGTTGATACGAATTCCGCACCCGGCTCGCACCGATCACAGTGCTGTCGTAAAATATCATCAGTGGTAGATGGAACATGAATTATAATTATCTTGCCGTCAGACTAACAGTGGGAGTTTTTCGTGGTTTTCCTCTCCATGTAGTGCAAATGCAAATTAGTTCCATCAAAAAGTCCTCCAGAAGGGTAAATTTCTCCCAATACTTGATCTCTTGTCTTCTGGCTTGGGTTATAAAGCTACGTAGTTGAACACTTGCAGTAGTAAACCCAAAAATTGGGTCTGCTGTTCAACGACGATTATAAAATAATATAAAATTAAATATCTTGTCAAATGAATAGAATGCCTGACATTTTTAAGCAACTTATCATATATGAGCTCTATTTTATATTTTATCTAGTCATGAAAATTATGTACTATTTTATCTAGTGTAGAATACTTGTAGGTTTCACAAAATGCATTTCTATTCAATTTGTTAAGTTATCCTTTGCTGTATTAATTCACGCATTCTGTAGAACACTGGATTTCTTTTGATATTCATTTGACGATTTTGACGTTAACCCAAACATTAAAGTTGAGAGTTAAATAAGTTTATTTTTTAGGTGTAAAAAATAAGCCCCTGCACGTATACTGGGGACAGAGTGTTCATCTGGCGTGCAATATCCACCTTCCTGGTGCAGAGACGGCCATCCCTGGTGCATCCAAGTGGTTCCGGTACAGCCGTGAAAAGGGCAAGTACGAGGTTCAGCAGAGAAGGGACAAGTACATCTATACTCAGGACCAGGGACTGGTCATCCTGTCCGTCACGGAGAGGGACAGTGGACGTTATGACTGCAAGCTGGGTCCCAATACTCTCTGCAGTTACAATATCACTGTAGACACTAGTAAGTAACAAAATCACCTGTATTTTACAGTACAATGATATTTTACTTTTAATTAGGTGTTAAGAAAGAGCAACTCGAAAGATGTTTTCTGACATTGGTAGCTCTAAGACTTGCGTGCAAAGTCAAACACTTAACGGTGGAACACTTAAAAGACGACCCTTGATCCTTTCGCTGATTGGTTAAACCTATTCGTGATTTACTATGAACGGTGTCTTACGATCTTTTGACATCTATGAAAGGTACAGAAGCGCTATTAGAAGATACCTTAGTCCGAGTTTTACAAAATAAACCAAATTCTGCTATTTGTTGAGATCTGGGGTTCGAAGCCAGTTCTACACCAGGCTAGAACTATTCAAATTAATATTTTTACGTACGGGAAACGAAAATCGGCACATTTCTTAAATGTCACGATGATTAAAGCTTTATCTTTTATTGAAAATAAAACAATTTCTTTTTCTGAAACTGTACCAAAACGACTTCATAAGATAACAGAAGTTATTTTTCAAAATTCTGTTTTACAAATTTGATGATCTGCAACTGCATATGAAATGTTTAGCTGATTGCGTAGATTTATTTAAGTCGGACACAAAAAACTAAATTTGAGCAATATTACGAAGAAAAGTTTTACATTTGTTTGCATGTTCGTATAAAACAAATAACCTTAAAAATATTAAAGTAAAAATATTTTTTTTCTAGGAATATCATTAACTTATTTTTCTGTGGGTTTTTCTTGAAGAGTGCCCTTAATATTATGCATTTTTAGTATCTCATGTCAAAAATAAAGTGAAATAAATTATGCAGTATGCACATTAGAAAGTATGACAAATCACTATTTAAAAAGATTGGACTAAAAGCACCAGAGCTTGATAAAAGAAAAAATAGTCACATTTCACCTCCTTTCTACTTCCTAAAGCAATCAAACAGGTTTTGTTTTTAATATGGCCTTCCTCATTAATGATTCATCACGTTTTAAAACATTTTCATTTAGTTTTTCTTCTCTGGTAAATATTTATTTGAAAATCCCATTATGTTCACATTTGACTAAATTTTTGAAAGGGATTCTAAATATATATTAAGAGTGGTGCTTAAGAGAAACCTTGTGGATTATTTAAGGAAAGCCTCCAATCGTAATTTCTTCAGTCTTATGACAATAAATATCAAATACTAATGGGAATAGCCGATGTGCCTCAGGGATTAGAACACTCTCTTCCAAATTAGGTGATCCAGGTTCGAATCCTAGCGATGGCTGATCAATTCGAATTCTGCTCCCGTATCGTATCGACCACAATGTTGATATACAAAATATCCTCAGTAACAGACGGATCTCATTGCCTTGTTGGACAAACGTGTTAGATTTTCGTAGTTTTCCCCGTCATGTAACGCAAATGCAGGTTAATTTCATCCAAAAAGTCCTTCACGAAGGAAAAGTCCAATGAGGTGAACCGGGTTCGAATCCCGGCAATGTACGAATTCAGCATCCGAATTGCGCCGACCACAGTGCTGACTTAAAATATCCTCAGTTGTATACGGATCATGGGTTAAAGTCCCCTTGTCGTCAGACTAACCGTGAAAGATTTTCGTGTCTTTCCCCACCATGTAGCGTGAAAGCGGGTTAGTTCCATCAAAAAGTCCTCCACTAAAGCAAATTTTCACCAGTACTTAATCCAGGAGTTCCCTTGTCTTCTGGATTGATTTTAAAACTACAAGGCTACCGAGTAACAGTGATGATTGAAAACAGAAAAAGCGACTTGGCTGTTCAGCGCTGGTTATAAAACAAAATAATATTAATGACCAAAAAAGGTACAAAGCGAAAAATAAAAAACGGGTCATCCTGAATAACTTTTAATCCAATGATCGGATCTTCACGTTTTAGGACTCAATCTTAATAATTAAAGGGGGTGACTTCAAATACGCTAATTAATTAATGTAGACTATGTATTAAGTTACGAAATCAGACACAAAAACGGACTATCTCTGAATAAACATGCCTTTTTTTACCACTGATTGGCGTTTCTGATCCCTGAGATATAGGGGGTAACCACATTCTGGGAAATATGGTTAGGAGTTTGGTCAAAAGTTAGGACCCCTTAATTTTAACTTTACTTCTTGCGTATTTCGCTTTTCTCGAATGTTTTTAACGAATTGAAATATTTTTGTAAACACTTATTTGTAAACATTATAAAATTCGTTTGTCATAAAATAATTCCATGCAAGAAATAACTTTTAGTATACATTTATTATTTTATATGATAGTCGAAAGCATTTTGAATTAAAAGATTTTTTACATAATTTTAAATCGCAAAATACAAAATTTGAGCAAAATCATTTGAATCGAACCCTTAAAAATCGAATTTTGAAAATCATATTTCTTAAATATGATTTCTCGGGAACTATTCGACCGATTTATCTCACATTTTGTATTTTGCGAACTAAAATTGCATTCTGAATTATGCAAAAAATTCAAAATTCTTTCCGACTGCTGTTGAATAAAATAACGATAAAAATTTCCTGAAAGTTGCTTTTTGCATGGAAATATTTTTGGATAAAAGAATTTTATAATTGTGTGCAATAATTTATTAATTCACCTTGGAAGTTAAGGAATTGAAACTCTCCTGACCAAACTATTGGAACCCTTTTTCCCAGATTACGGCTACATCTTATAATTTCGCGGTCAGAAATCAGAATCCGTCAAGAACAAAAGATAAGGTATATTTTTTCCAAAAAAAGTACGTTTTTGTGTCTGATTTCGTAACTGAAAATATCGTCTGCGCTCTATTTAGCATATTTGATGTCACCCCTTTTAATTATTAAGATTGAGTCCTAGAGCAATAGTTATATCAATAGTTATTCAAAGTTATTTTATTTTGCGCACTGTACACTGTACTCTATTTTTTGCTTATCTTTTATCATTGAACCTATTAATACTTTGTATTCCTTATGTATTTTTAAATGTTAACAAGTATTGTTTTTTTTCTTTTAGAAACATGTAGCGCTCCAACAGATGTGGAATATAGAAAAGTCTATTCGGACTGGTGTCACGAGTTTGAAAAATACAAATTAGCAATGAAGACGTGGCAGAATAAACAGCAGGTAACTTTCATTTCAATTCTTCTCAGTAGTATAATGATGCAAATAATTTAAAATCAAAACTTTAAGTGTAAAGGAACTATTATTATACTAGTATTATACTATTATATATCTATATTATACTTACCATATAATATAGATTTATAAACAGGGCTAAGATATTGATGATGAATGCCTTTTTTTGCACCATTTTTGTTTTTTCTTAGATAGAGCATTTTTTTATTTTAAGAGTTGATATTTTTATTGCGAATTTACTTTTTTCTTTATATACTATTGTAGATTTTAGATGCATTCCAATAACAAGCATTGATAATAATGTGAGTTTTTCAAGAATTTAGTGACAGATAATACCCTAGCATCACCATTCTGCACATTTACAACACCTTATATATAACCTTTATTATTTGTTGTACAGTGCATCGAAAAAAAGGACCACCCTGAATAAATTTTGATCTAATGATCGGATCTTCAATCTTAAAATTTCGAAGAGGTGACCTCAAATATGTTAATTAGTGCAAACGATATTTTAAGTTATGAAATAAGACGCAAAACCGTATTTTCTCTAAATAAATGTATATTTTCTTTCGATGGATTTGGATTTCTGACCCCCAATAAATAGGGGTAGCCGATATCTGGAAAAAATGATCCAAATAGTTTGGACAGGAAAGTGATTCAAAGTTTGAACCCCTTAATGTTAATTTTACTTTTTTGCATATTTCGTCATATCTAGAGAACTTTTAACGTGAATTGAAACATTTTGGAACACAATTATAAAATTCGTTTATTCAAAGATAATTCTATGCAAAAAAATAAATTTTAGTAAATATTGATTATTTTTAAGATTTTATTAAATGATGGACGAAAATATTTTTAATTGCAAGGTATACAATATTTTACAACATTTTAAGGAACGTGGCCAAAAATATAAAATGTGAGCGAAATAGGTTGAATAGTTCATGAGAAATCTAATTTTAAAGAAGTCATATATTTAAAACTCGATTTCTCAGGAACTATTCAACCGATTTTGCATGAATTTTTTTTATTTTGCCATGCAAATTGCACACTTTAAAAATTATGTCAAAAAATTCATACCTTACAATTCAAACATTTTTCGACTATGTATTATCATATAAAATAATAAATATTTGCTAAAATTTTATCATTGTGTGTAAAAAACTTTCAATTCGCTTAAAAAGTTCGAGATATGGCGTAATACGCAAAAAATAAAATTACCAGGGGTCCAAACATTGGACCGCTCTCCCGATCAAACTATGGGAACCATATTTGTTAGATTGCAGCTCCCCCCTATTTTCCGGGAGTTAGAAATCGGTAGCAAAAGTAAACTACATTTGTTACAAAGTAGTCGTGGCAAACTACAAAAATAATGTAGTTTTTCTTACCACTGAATACGATAATGTTTGTCACATGACATACGAACAGACAGTAATATTGCCTAATAATTAATTAAAAAAATACGTAGTAATAAAATAGCACATCAAATCTTAATCAAAAGTCACTTGTTTTTCATTAAAATTACCTGAAAATACAGCTTTTTAAATTTTGTCTTTCTTATTTCAGAAATGTCAACTTGCCCACCCAAATGATGTCACATATCAGGGGAGTCCACCCCTGTAACACTATAGCGAGAGACTTTGCCGAATTACTTTTGATTGAACTCTCCCTTCGACCGCTGGTCGGCAGGGTCTGGCCACCCCTCTTGACCAGAAGGAAGCCACCTTGTTTATGACTTCTTCTGAGAGGCCGACGCTCATTAACAAACTCTGTACATAAATAAAACACAGTTCATCTGACATTCATCTGTGATGATTATTTAAATAATATTAAAGTAAGAAGAACTATTTAAAGGGACCTTTTAAGTGACAAGGACTATGCCAAAGACTCCTTCTAGATGTTCCTCCCCACAAACGGGATTATATTGCTCCGTCGAAAATGCTCAAATAATTGGAGAAACATCCGAACATTGGATAAACAAACAAATTGGAGAAACTGCTGCTGCTGCTGTGCCGATTCTCGTATCGGATGATGCGTTTTAATCAGTGATAAGTACACGTGATGGGTAGTTGCTGAAAGGTGTACGCACTTTCGATTGCTGACTTATCTCCTGGTACGAGAATTGAGGCATTTAAGTGATGAAAATAAACTGTACTGATATTGGCGATTTCATGTTGATTCTGGTCTTTAATATTTTCAGTTTTAATTTTATTCGATACCAAATAATACATTAAATGGTGTCAGTTTTTAATGCCGGATTTTTTTAAAAAAAATAGTAAGTATTCCAAAACAAAATAGAAGTTTTGAAAAATAAATACTCTCATTCACTTAGATCTAATTTGCGATTATTTTGATTGAAGTTAACCTAATGATAAATTATTTTGATGAAATTAACCAAACAAAGCTGTATCTTCTTTTGTCATTTTAAATTGCTGTAATATTATTGTTGCTATAATATTATTGTTGCTATAATATTATTGTTGCTATAATATTATAAATTGCTATAATATTTTACATTAAAAATGAAAAGAAAATAAATTTCATTTTTATTTTCTGAAAGAAAATTTCATCGCAATTTATTTTATACTAAACGTTGAAAAACTTTAAAAAGAGCAATCATTTTAAGAATAAAAAATGTATTAGTTTAAACCTTTACAAGCTTTTCACAAAAACGTGTTTTTTATTTTTTTTTAAAATGATAAAAGTTTTTAAAATAAACGATAATAACTAAATTAGTCATTGTAATGGGTAATAGTTATTTCATATTTAAAAAATTTATGCTTAAATCTAAAAATTATTTATTTTTTTTGGAAATATATCAATGATTTTCAAATTTGAATCCTGCAATATATAAGTTATATTTACGTAGTAAAATTTAAGTATTATTCTACATACGTATCATTCTATAGGCGTATTTACGTATTATATAATATTTACATATTTCTTCTCAACTTGTCATGCAAAATTAAAAATTTACTCAGTTCAAAATATAATCAAATAAATTGAATAATTTCTAAACATATGTGAGTCAGTTAAAATTTTTAAAAAAATTCCCAGCTAAGAAAAAATTTTGCTATAGATAAAAATTCAAAAAGAATTGATTTTTATCATGAATTCATCGAAAATAGGAGTCATAGAATAATGAACAGAATCGACTTGAAATCGAAAATATCAGACAATTGTAAAATGAAATTAACTTATCATTTCGAAAACTCGTCTGCGTGTATGTGCGTGTCTATTTGTTTAGAAGTAGCTAATGTCAATGTCTGGAAAAAAGGAAAAGTATGCGAGAAAAATTCTGTTCCAGAATATTCTTCTGTGGATACCCCCACCCCCTTCATTCGAAAAATCAGCATTTTTTTTGCTTTCATTATCTGCCAGCTTCTTTCACAGAAAAGAAGTTAAACTGCAAGCTTGTTTTATCGATAACAACGCAATATCGTCGAAAATGTTATCGCAGTTTTTTCCGTACTCGTTTGTAAATTGTGATAATTTGTTTATATCAGTCATTTATACATAACTGTAAAAAATTTCTCATTTTAATGTACAGCCATTTTCTATGCATTTTGAGTGCTTATTTGTATTTTAAGTTTGTAAAAATATCATCTTTATGTATTATTCTTGTAATTGATATTCATGTTGTATTATTGTATGTTTTAATAACACTATTCTGCTAATTGTGTTTATTTATTTTTAAAAAAAATGTTCTTTATTGCTTTTTATGAACGCAAACTGATTTCTAGTGATATCTTGAAATTATTGAAGAGTTATTATTAATATAATGTGTTACTTAAAAAATGAATTTATATTAGTTATATTTTAGAAAACAGAAGAACTTAAAAATTGTGAATAAAGCTTTTATTACAATCATTCGTTTCGGAAAAAAAATTACCAATTTTTAAATACTTATAGTTTATAAATAACGCATTGAAATATACTATTTTTTAATTTATATATTTCTGTTTTTGTTTTACTAAAAAGAATTCATGGGTTTTATCATATCTGTAAAAATAAATTTAAAAATAAAAATTAGAAATAATAAAAAATTTTATTCTAGCTGTATGGTAATTTAGATTAAATGAATTGAAATTAATTATATTCAGTTTACACTTGCATTATTTATTTTTTTAATATGTAATTTGAAATTATATTTTTATTTATATGCGGATTGTGAAATTTAAAAGTAAGAATAAATTTATTTTAAATAGTCAAGTTCTATCTATAAACAATCAGTAATAATGAATAAAGAGTAAAATAATAGTCACCGTTTTGAACTAAAAATAAATATGAGTTTACCATCTACTGGTATCATATTTTGAGTTTTATTTTAAAATTAAAATTAATAACTGTTAAAGAATTTTGCTATAAAGTTAAAAAGAAAATCTTATTTTTTCAAGTGACTTTTCTAATGATTTTAAGATCACAAAATGTTTATTCAAACTATACTTGACACTATCTAACAATATTCTATATGTATGCCAAAATTGCAACAATTTCATAGCGACAACACTAAATTCACATAGCTTTTCTTAAATAAATTATATTCATTTTTTTGAATTTATTTTTTGTTATAAAGTTTTTTTTCTTTCCTGAAAAAATACACAAAATTTTAAATTATGTAGAATAAAAGTTTTCTGCCTAATTTTAAAAAAAAATGTTGTTGCAATAAAAATTAAGAATGTTGAGTGCTATAATACAAATATTTCAAAAGCAAGCAGTTTATATAGAAAAGTTATTTTAATAAACTATTAACTAATTTAATTTTCAAAAGGATTAGCTTCATAATATTTCCCTAACTCTTCTAGATACTCAAAATTTATACACTCTATTTTGCTTAAGTTTGATTGTATTTATGTTCTTTTGTTTCAAATATGAACGTTTTTGTTCTTTTTAGTCCGCAATTAACTAAGCAGTCTAATATTATATTTTGCACCATTGCAAAATACTTCAATACTATTAACTACACTAAAATTGTGTTATTAATAATAAGCAAATTTTATAATCGTTTTTCTTTGAGTTCTTAAAAAGAAAAACCCATATTATAAGAGTAAATTCCTAGTGTTATTTACATAATTTTGAATGATTTTTCTTTTCTATCTTTAAGTTTACACGAATACTAAATTGTGATAGACTATGAATGATACGAAAAACATAAAATTAATATGAAAAATATTGAAACTCATAAAAAAAAAACAATTCTTGGTACTTGTTATAAATTTCGTACACCATTTTTTTGGTCTACGAAATTTATTTCACAAAATAAATGGTAGTTAACGTGTTAATTATAGCGCCTTATTATTAATTTATTTTTTTATTTGATCAAAAACGGTTGACGTGATTATACATAAATGCCGAATTCTTAAAGTACTATTATATGACAATTTATACAGTTCACAAAAAGGAAAATTTATTTAATGAAAGAACTTTATTATAGTCTAAACTCTAAATTTCACTAATTAATAAATTAAATTTGATATGGAATACTTTATAAATACAATAAAAAATAGTAAATTCTTTAGTTACAATTTATCGAAACGGTTAACAATTTTAATTAATTAGCTACTAGTCACTGTAAAATTAAAAGCATGAGATAAAAAAAACTCATCATATTAATTTATTAGAAATATTTAAATCTACAAGGAAACATCGAATTTCAGTGTAATTAACAAAAATGATAATTAAAAAAATTCAATGTATGAAATTATTTTAATGAACCAACTAGTTAACTTTTAACTAAAACGATGTTTTGAGAGAATTTCCTTTATTATATTAGTTAGAATAAAAAATATAAAATGTCTAGTTACTTATAAAAAATANTATCTCTCTAGCTCTCCCTTACAAACAAATAAAATAAACTGTGTTTTTTAAGTTCCACCTTTGAAAATTTGATTTCCGAAAACTTCTGTGATCAATGATTTTTTGAAACATCTGAACCTTCGATCTCCGGAAACTTCCTGATCACTGTTAGCGAAAAATCCGGAAAACCAGATTTTTTCCGGAGCACAATCAGCCCTGCGCATAAGCAGTAATATATCTAAAATGTATGATAGCTAATTAAATATTAAACTTAATTATATTCACAGTGGAAGAGCTGTGATGACTCAGAGGATAGAGCATCCTCCTTCCAAGGAAGTGAATCGGGTTCGAACCCCAGCGATGGCTGGTCTATACTAATTGCGCATCTAGCTCGCACCGACCACAATGCTGACGTGAAATATCCTCAGCGGTAGACGGATTGAATTGAATGTAAGTTTTAATGGCGCAAGGTCCAGAGAGGACAAGCTGCGCCACAGCGGTAGACGGATTGTGAGTTAGAGTCCTCTTGCCGTCAGGCTAACAGTGGGAGGTTTTCGTGGTTTCCCTCTCCATGCAACGCAAATGCGGGTTAGTTCCATCAAAACAGTCCTCCTGAAAAGCAAATTTCTCTCAACACTTGATCTAAGAGTTCCCTTGTCTTCTGAATTGGGGTTAAAATTACAAAGGCTACGGAGTTGAATATTAGCAATCGTAAACCCAAAAAATCGGGTCGGCTGTTCAACGACTGTTATAAAATATATTCACAGTGACAGGTTGCAGACTCTACTTTTTAAGAATGTAAGGAGTATTTTTTTTTTTTTTTTAATTTGAGAAACGTTACTCAAGTTTAAAATTGAAGATTTCTAAAAATTTATTTTAAATAAAAATGAAAAAAAAATGAAAGAAGTTTAAGAAAACTTCTTACAAAATTTCTAAATCGGAAACAAAACAAAAACTTAAATATCGGTCAAACTTAATTTTCGGTTTACAACCACTAATGTTCAACTCCGTAGCCTTGTAATTTTGAACCCAATCCAGAAGACAAGAGAAGTCCTGGATCAAGTATTGCGAGAAATTTGCCTTTGAGGATATTTTGATGGAACTAACCTGCATTTACGCTGCCTGGAGAGGAAAACCTGCCACGGTTAGCCTGATGGTTAGGGGACTCTAGCCCACAATCCGTCTACAACTGATGATATTCCACGTCAGCATTGTGGTCAGTGCGAGCCAGATGCGGTATTCGTATCGAGCATCCATTGCTGGGATTTAAACTCGGTTCACCTCATTGGAAGGCGAACGCTCTATCCCCTGAGCCATCGAGGTTCGATATATAATAATTGAAGTAAAAAAATTAAAACTATATGTTAATGGAGAAAAGGTACTTATTTCGTTTATGGAAAATCACCATACGTAAATGAAGTTTGCAAAGGAATTTTGTGCATTGTTTGTAAGTTTCCTAGCACCCTTAAATATTACTTTTGTACTTGTTTTTTTTCTTCTTCTAAGTCAATGTTTTTTTTTTTAAAAAAAAGAAAGAATATTTTGCTAACAAAGTTTACAATTATTCTAGTTAGTTTTATGTATGAATATTTTGTTAATATGTTTATCGTAGCTAAATGAACGATTACTTGTATTTGAAAAATGATTATCAGTACAGTTTTAACGCAATAAATAGGAATTGTATAACTCAGTGAAACGAAATAAATCGTAACTCAGTGAAACGAAATAAAGTAATTTAACTCATTAAAAGGCGGATTCAAACAGTTTTTATTTCTCTTGTATTGAACTTTTTTTTAAACAATTTCAATATAAATATTAAGATTTATAATTGTCAACATCACTTAATCTCCTTTTTTTTTTTGTTATTTTTGACATTTTTGATTTTTTTTTTATTTTTTTTTTTTATATATTCAAGCGCAAGCTTATGAAGATCTAAAGAGGAAAAAAAAACTTTTTCTGCAATAAGAGATAAATAAAATCTCAGTATAAACATTAAGTCAAGTAAAAAACATTTAAGAAAATCAAAAAACAGTTTATGGGTTCATTTGATCATATACGCAAAGCCGATTAGCCCAATCAGTATCTAAACATAATTTATGTAAATTTGGTTTTCGCATAAAATCTACATATAAATGAAGCTAAAATAACGTAAAAAAGCATAAATAATGTCATACAAAAAGTTCGTGTTTCAAATTCTAAAATCTTAGAGACTCATAAGTAATTAATTAATCGATTCAAATGTTACTTTCAAAGATATTAAGAAAAAAACAATAATCGCTTTTTGATCAGAAATCAGCTTCAGAAAATATCTGTTGCCCCGAAACTTCTAAAGAGCTTATTATTAAGCATTAATAATAAGAATTTTCGAACTCACGCTAAAACGTTGAATGAAAAAGTTTCGATTTCCTTCTTTTCTATCGTCTCAACTTGGTTGCTTAGCAACGGAGAAACACTATGTATTGTCTTG